AGTATGAACATTTGTGTATAAGTTTTTGTGTGAGCGTATGCTTGGAATTTGCTTGAGTGTATACCCAGGAGTAAAATTGCGGAGTCAAATGGCAATTCTGTGTTTAACTTTTTTAGTAACTACAGTGGCTGCATCATCTTATATTGGCTGTACCATTTTACATTCCCACCAAGCAAGGTCTTAAGTTATATAAAATAACAAATGAAGTGTCTTATAAATAAAATATCTGAGAGCCAACATACTAAAAAAGGTTACTGTTTATATTTTAATGTGACTTCTCTGAAAGAAAAAAAAAAAACTTGAAACTCATAAAATGTTTTTCTGAGGAATCAGATCCCCAGAAATCCAGTAGAGGGGATTAGCTTTGGGTTTTACCAGAAAGCTGAACAACTTATCATTTTTATCTATGCATGACTGAGAACTTAAACAGTGTTCTGTTACTATTGACTTTTCCCGATGCCAGTGAAAATATTAGTCTGCAAATTGGCACTTCACCTTCAAATCATACTGATTTCTGGGCCCCGGTCGGAAAGAAAGAGGAGCAACTTCAATTATTACTCATAAAACAATCACCTATACATTGGGCATGCTAAATATATGACTACATACTTGAACATGAAGTTGTGTATGAGAGTGAACTCATGTTTTTTCCTTTCATATCAGAAGCAGCAACTGATACCTCTAAGGGTAATACAAATGAGGGAAAAAACCTCTAATGTTGTATGGAGTTGTTTGCACGACATAAAAATTCCAGCTTCGATGATACAGTATATCACCTTGTGGTAAGAGAGCAACAGTGCTATAACTGAAACAAATATTTCTGTAGAAGTCACGCACCAGTGTGTTCTAGTTGCCCACCTTAAGCTCAAAGGATTGCTGACGAATTCCTTTCTCCCCACCAGAACCCAGCTGATTGTTCTTCACCCTCTTCTAACCGTCATGCAGCTCTAAACTCAAGATTCTGTGCCCCTGACTTCACTGCCCACCTCTGGTATCTTCCACCCCGCTGGAGACAGGGGGAAGAACATGAGATTGGAAGTAAAGCTGACCTAATTGTGGCTTGTAGCCCACTGACATTTAGCAGCCCGAAGATGTTGGGCAAACCACTTAACTCCTTTGAGCCTCTCTGTTCACTTGCAAAATGAAGGAAGTCATCTTACAACTCCGTAGGATTGTTGGGACCATTCATGACTTGCAGCAGTGCTTTGAACCTAGGGACAGCTCCATGGGTGTTCAGTAAATCAAGTATCAAACTCATTGCCTTCACATAGTAAGCACTCAGGAAATAACTATTGTTAGCCAGTCACTACATGACTATTTCTTGAATGCCAGACACTATTCTAGGCACTGGGATATAGTCATGATCAAAACAGATGAAGTTCCCTCACCAAGGAGCTTACGTCGTCATAGGGAAGATCATGAATTAACATATGTGAATATACGGCCCAGTCACAGGAAGTCCCATAAGAACAATAAAGTAGGTTATGGGAGTGGAAAGTGGTTGGGGGTCTGGGGCAAGTTTTGCGGTAACGTTTTAGGCAGAGTGGTCAGGGAGGGCCTCTCTGAGGACATGACATTTAACTAGAATTTCTGTTCCCATCCCTGTCTTCAGTATTTGCTCTTTGACTTCTCCCTGCACATTTTGGTGGCTTGTCTTCTATGCTCTTGATTTCCCTATAGCCTCAAACTTTGATTGAGAAAAGAGAGGAGTCAGGAAGGTTTTTGATCTGTGGCTCCATGTATTAAGTGAAGGGCTGAATAGTAAAGTCCTGAATTTGTCTTTGTGCTGATTAAATATCTATACCTTGGGAAAGCTTTGCTCCCTAAAGAAGGGTATTGGGGGGACAACCTGGTGATCACACTTTATTTGATTCCTGCAATTGCCTAAGTCCATATAAAACTCAGAACAGCAAAAATATTAACGGCTGTCATTTATCCAAAACCAGAGTGCTAACAAGTAGCAGAGCCAAGATTCAAGCTTAGAACCTTCAAACATCCACTCTTTCCTGTACCCTTCTCTGCCTGCAGTGATCATCATCACTGTTGTTATTAGTAATTCCACATTTAGAAAATACTTTATCTTAGAAGAGTGAGATTACATAGTTCAAATATAATGTGTATTTAAATATACATAAATATATATTACACTATACATAAATAATAACATTATTAAATATAATGTATATTTAAATTCACCTTTATTGAGCAACTACTTTTCATTCAGATACAGCATTTCCCTCATATATGCCAGGCACTGTTCTAGGTGCTAATACTATAATCCTAGCGCTACCACTACTATTTATTGAGCATCTTCTATTTTTTTCTGTGTTAGAACTTGTAATATTCACAACGATATGTATTTTAGCCGTATTTTGTAGATGGGAAACCTGAGACTCAGAGTGATTAGTGAATATCCAAAGTTCAACAGTAAGTGGTGGAGGCAGATGCTGGGTCTGTTTATTGCTGAGCCTTAATGCCTGCATTGTTCTCCTTCAGCGAGAAATGCAAAGGTGCACAGTCTCAGCTCTCCAGAAGCAAAGCCAAAGATGCTACCAGTGTAGGCTGACAGATCTAATAATTTACATACACACGTTATAGGTTGTATTTCCTTTCATCCCCACAGTACCCCTCATCAAATGGCAGTAGTGGTGGCATGATGTCAGGTGGTAGTATTAGTGTTACTAGCTAGACCAGAATACCTGCAGTCAGGGGCAGACTGATCACGGCTACTTGTTGTCAGGAGTCAGCCAAAATGCTGTGGGAACCCAGTGGGCGACGTGGGAATGCTTGAGGTGGGGCCTGAGAGAGTACTTGGAGGTGAGCTTCGCTCAGATTGGGAAAGCTTCTTTTTGAGCTGGGCTCTGAAAAGTAAGACTGCCTGGAAAGGTCTCTAATGTGATCACCAGTTACCAGAGGATGTAGTTAAGGGAAACAGCTTGGTCACATAGCCAGTTGACAGAGCAGGGATCATCATTTGGTCAGCCTTACCCTTCAGCTCGAAACCTGACCCTTGTTTAGAATAGCATACCAGGAAAGTCTCATTGGCCTTTCAGTATCCCTTTGTGAACAAAGTTAAGTCTGTGATTCTTTTGGGTTCTGGAGACAAAGTGCATAAGGTTCATGGGGAAAAGAAGTAACAAAAGATCAGGGTCAGCCAGATCAGCCACTCCTTGAGAGTCAAAAGATCCTGGTTGTGCCATGGACCTTCTGTGTTATGTGGCCTTGGACCTCAGTTTCCTTATCTGTAGAATGATGTATATAGGCCAGTGTTTCTCAAATATCTGCATGCATCTGAATCACCTGGAAGGCTTCTTAAAACCAATTGCTAGACCCCCCACCCCCAGGGTCTCTGATTCAGTAGATCTGGGGTGGGACCCAGGAATTTATAACTGATAAATTCCCAAGTGGTTCTGATGCTGCTACGCCAGGGACCAAACTGGAGAACCAGTTCAAATATAATGGGAATCTCTGAGCTCTCATTACCTCTGTGAGCCTCTGTTTAAAAAGTGATAGCAACAAAGTCAGGAGGTCTGGACCATAGAGTTCCACCTCCGACTAGGTATACTACTTTGAGCAAGGCACTTAACCTTTCTCTGCCTGTGTCTGTATCAGTAAAGTGGGAGACTCACAATTCTCAGTGGCATAGGAGAGAGGAGAGAATCAACTCTCTCATTTAAGAGCAACCTGTTATGAAAAGAATACTATATAAATTGTCAGTTATGTAGCCAAGATACGGAGGCAACCTAAATGTCCATCGATACCCAAATGGATAAGGAAGATGTGGTGCACGTACACACACACACACACACACACACTGAAATATTACGTAGCCACAAAAGAGGATGAGATCTTGCCATTTGCAACAACATAGATGGACCTAGAAGGTGTTAAGCCAAGTGAAATAAGTCAGAGAAAGACAAACACCATATAATTTTATTCATAGGTAGAATGTAAAAAAAAAAAAAAAAATGAATACACAAGCAAAAAGCAGAATCAGACTGTAAATACAGAGCAACAAACTAATGGTTACCAGAGGGAAGGGAGGTGAGGGAATGGCAAAACAGGTGAAGGGGAGAGGGAGATACAGGCTTCCAATTATGGAATAAGTCGTGGGAATAAAAGGCACAGCATAGAGAATATAGTCAATGGTATTGGAATAGGGCTGTATGGTGACAGATTGTAGCTACACTTGTGGTGAGCAGAGCATAACTAGAGGTTGAATCACTATGTTGTATACCTGAAACTAATGTAACATTGTGTCAACTACACTCACATATAAATGTTTTCAATAAAAAATAGTCATTTGTGCATATCCCATGTTTGAAGTAAAGATTCTGCTCTGATAGAATATTTGAGGTAATTGGGTCTACCTTCCAAGTGAAAGAAACAACAGAAAATGTCTCCTTTCCATGAAGAAAAGGAAGCTTAGTGCAAGAGGAAGTGTGCCCATGGAGAATGTACTTAAAATCCAAATGACCCATGAGGGACCCCATCTTATTTGGCAGATAAAAGTTTCCCTGCTATCTATTTAACAAATTAATAAAAAAGAACATAAATAAAAGGGAATAATAACTTAGAGCTATCTGGGCACCTGAGTCTGTGAGCCCTTTAGGGCCTTGGCACCTAAAGAGGAGGGGAAAAAAAGATCCTTGTCTCTGAGGCTTTGAAAGTGCCTTTCCTTGAGGCATTGGGGAAGCTCTGGGGGCACTAAGAACTGAAGGGCTGAGTGCCTGGGGCATGAGTCTGTTTGATCCAATAAAGAGCCAGGAAAAAAAAAAATGGCTGGTAAGTAATTTTGCTATTTCATTTTGCTGCAAAAGAGAAGGCAAAACACCAGAATATTCAATGAGCCAAACAAAGTACAAATGTGCCATGAGTATGAATGCAGGCTGCCCCCTTCCCAGGGAACGTTTCTAAGCCCGAACGAAGCACTCACCGCTGAGGCTAATGTACAATAGCATGCATTTTAAACCATGGTGACCCTTTTGTTTTTCTGATAGGCGAAGATGAAGACGAATTTGAGAATTTCATGCTGCCTCTTACAGTCTCTTTTGAAACGGTATTACAAATATTCAACAACAACTTTAAACAAGAAGATGTAAAGGTGGGTTTGTTCCCAAACATGATGAGAGATGATTTTGCTCATTCTAGGATATCCAGATCCACAAAAAGGTTCTGCGTTACTTGTATGTGCTCCGTGCCTCATCGGTCTTGCTTTCTCAGGCGCCGTGTGTCTTTGAGTTGTACTTTTCCTACCAGTACTCTTTTATTTTCTTCCACAAACTGACTTTGAGGCCAGTGAGTGATTTTGGACACTTGATGATTGGATGATTTCTCCCTCATGGCGGTTAGTATCTTTAAAAGAACGCTGCTTGTGGGTACCCCACTTTAAACGCCCCTATTCCAGCACCTACCCTGCACTGTATGTTTCAGCATATTTATATGGAGGAATGCGCAAACATGCACATGCTAAAACACTACATCTCTAAATATGTTTTTAAACAAGAATTTATATAAATCAAGACTTTATTAAATGGCTAGGCATATATGTATAAATAGGAGCTGGTCTTGAAGTATTGCGTTCTTAAACTGAGCAAAGTGATTAGGATAACTGATAGCTAAATAAGGTTTTTATGCGCCTGTGGGAGCCGTATTAGGATTGATTTGACAAGTCTGTTCAGCTGTGGCAGCAGTCACACTATCCAAGACAACATTATGTTTTATTAGTAAAATCCTTAAGTGTAGCAAGCGATTTGTGACAAAACAGCCCCAGATTTTAATGTGGGGGGTGGGGAACACAAGATCTGCAAAACAGGAATAGCATCGTCTAAAACCATAATGCATCTGGGCTCTATTAAACAGATTGACACTGATTATTATTTTTAAAAGACTAATAAGTGTACTCCAGAGAAGGTGGGCACCTCTGTTAGTGATGCTTGAGTCCTATTTTATTGTTATTTGAAATAAGTTGAAAACATTAACCATCATTTTGCTTGGTTTCTCTTCTCTCTACCAAAAAAAAAAAAAAAAAAAAAAAAACAACTTAGTTCTGAGAAGCCAGATAGTAAAACAATAGCCTTTGATGGTTATTTTACTGTAATTCTTCTACCAAAAAAATAATTAGCCAAATGCTATACCTCTTAATTTGAAATAGACTTTTTTGAAATGAATGTTTATCAACATGCAATAGTCACAGAATTTTAAAACCAAAAAGGATCCTAGAGATTTTCTTTGTGTTCATAATCTTGCTAAAATTCTTCACCAGACTTTCTATTCAGGTTAGCTATGTTTTTGAGATGTCTTCCAAATATGTTTAAGGGCCAACAGAATCTTTGCAGCTTTGAGGTGGCTCTGGGTGCCCTTTATATCAGACAGAAGCAGTGAGGTTGAAAAACACCATCTTTCTAAAAATTACATTTGTCTCATTTGAAGATTTCATTATACTCCAAGCCCATTTTGATGTAATCCCATCTAGTTTGATAGAAACCATCTTCCTAGAGTCATTTTTAATGGAGTTCCAGTGATATATCCCTAAACCAGCAAGTTCTTAACGACCCTGGAAAGTGACTGCTTGATTACACTTTAACGGTATTTGCAAATAAAATCACAAGTAATTAAGGGGAAATCTCCAGGCTTTTGAGCAAGTTTGATGCATGATAACTGCCTGATTCAGCTTCATCTAGAGTAATGCTGTGTAGGCAACAGCTACTGAGATCAATAGCAACGTAATGATAGTGGCAGAATTAAGTGAGTAACCTGAGAACTGTGCCTCAGAATGCATGCAGCTGCCACGAACCAGGGCCACACAGTGCACTCCGTGCTTCCGTCCTAAATGTTCATCAAAAGACGCCCTGCAGGAAAATGGAGTTAGATGCTCTTTATTGCTGATCGTGTCTCTTGCCACATTTATCAGGGAAATTGGATTAGCAGTTGGCAGCTGCAGGTAGACAAGATTCTGCAGTGATTAAATATGCAGCTTGGCTGCATTTGTTGTGACAGACCTTTAGTAAATTCTACTGTAAGCACCATCTGTCTAATTTGTATAAAGAAAACTTGGTGCTGTAAGCTACCGATAAAGAACTAAATCTGTTGCTTTATCATAAACAAAACTTTTGCACTAAATGCTTTTAAATGTAATTTATTAGGTTAAGGCTATTTTTCTATCACGATGAATAAATAATACATGCAAAAGTGCTTTCAGGTACTTCATTTTGCAAGTACTAGAGATAAAAACAGTTCTGTTTTGTTCTTCAATAAAGTATTTAGTATTCCAATCCACAGGAGGTGATGCTGTTAAAATATCTCTATGAAAATGCCGCAGGACTGCCAAATTCATTTAATTTGCAACCCTTACCAGGATTTTCTAACTCCCTATTTATAGATATTTTTCATATGCGGATTTCAGGATGAATGTAAACAGTGAGGACCTGTGTTGCCAAATTGAAAAATGGTTGCAAGGGGTAGAAATGCTGCAAAACTCTTAAATTTATAGCTTTGTGTTCTTACTTAGTCCTAATAAAATTGAAGAGGACATTGAATTTTTTGTCTTGGGTTTTTCTCTTCACAGCAAAGGGAAAAAAGAAAGAAAATGCTGTGACAAATCCTGGCTCCGAAGCATTAGTTCGAAATATATGTTCCCCCCCCCCCCATAATTGTATCCATAGTAAAATATAGTCCAGTACTCCCTTGACTCATGCATCATTTTTGATTTGGCCATGACGTCATCGATTTTAAGGAAAAATGAATGAAAACTTCTCGGAGGAAGAGGAGCAGTTAAATAGGAACCTGCTATCTTTAGTCCCTTCGTAAAAACTCCACAATGTTAAATTATTTAAAATCCTTGATTTTCAGCATGCGCACATTAAAAGTTTTCGCACTAAGTGCCAAATGTTGCAAACAGCACTTTAACAGAATGATTTTGCTTTGATCCCTGTAGCAGTTCCTGAATAATTTATCACAGGTTATTGCCTTAATTCTGGAGAGGGATAGAGCAATAAAGGCAGATGAAAACACTCCAGTTGAAACACCTTGGGGCCTGCTCATTCCTCTGACACGGCTCTTTTGTTGGAACTATTTAGAGGTTATTAAGATGTGTCTCCAGAATTAAGAGTATGCTGTAAGGATGAAGACAGCCATCTTAATTCTAAAGACAAAGCACAATGACCCTTCACCTTCTTTTTCTTTGTTGTTATTATATAGTAGAATTATGAGGATAATATTATAGCTGCCCCCAGTAGTGCCACTACAGTAAAGGGTCTGTCAGACTTTCCATTAGAAACCCTGTTTTGGGGGTCAGGGTGGAAGGAGCCGCGTTTCAGCCGTTTCCCAGCCCATTCGTCTCACGCTTGGTACACAGACAACTGTTCGCCATGCAGCCCGCTGAAGCACGGAGCGGCTTCTCCTGGAGCTACCCGCAGGGAATCCTTGGGATTACATACCCCAGACCTCCCCACCTCCCCAAAACAGCCTCACTGAAAATATAGGGAGCCTCTCACTTTTCAGATCAATCAAGTGTTGACCAACGGCAGCTGTCCTGTAGGACAAAGGCAACTTTTGAAATAAACCCCTTTGTACTCTTTTAAATGAGATGGTGAATTGTGGCTCCTCCTTCCCTAAATTTCAATCAGACCGCCTCTTGTTCTCTGAGATCGGTCAGCAGTCTGGTTGAACTTCTGGGGAGCGGTTGTCCTGTCTAATACCAGCGCTGGCTATGTTTTGGCTACCAAGAAAGTACTCCTGTAGTGTTGTTTGAGTATCTGTATAGGTTGTTTCAGTACTCTTGCTGCCTTAAGATAAAAGAGGTTGTTTGAGCCGAAGCATCTGTTTCTTACTCACATTAACACTGTATTTTCCTGTCCAGTTGCATCCACTGAAAAGATACATTTACTTGTTATGTTGTCATGTGCTTCCTCTGCTCTGTAGTACATTTTCTAAAATTAAACCTTGATATCATTTCATAGATTCAGGTCACTTAGAGCACTTTTATTAACTTGGCATCTTTTAAGGAAGAAAAAGCTGTGATAGAATAGAATGTCAACCTTTTTTGTGTAATGAAGATAGTCTAAGATATTTTAAGAGTCCCTTGCACTAAGCATGAAGAAAGTAAAACTCATGATTCCTGTCGACTAATTTAGAGCTGAATGGTGGGTGCCTTACGTACATGTGGAAACAATATTATTTGAAGAGTAGCCCGTAACCTCTAAGTATACATAAAAATATACCGAAAGCCCACTGTCACAGAAAGACTGCAGAGCTATAAATACTCAAAATAGAATTGTTCAAAGAAGCTGTCTTAGAAGACGTATTTTGTTCTTGAGGTTGTGAGAAACGTGGAAAGCTGCAAAAGAGGGGAACAAGTTCCAGGTGGTGAAAAAAGGTTACATAAAAGGCAAAATGGCTTTTTTAGAAAAATAGCAGGTCACATGAGAGAACTATAAGGTGTGAGCGGATTCTAGAATAAAAGGACTAGTGACATTACGAGAGGGAAAAGAATGAGTCATTTAAAGAAGCAGAAACAAATACAGGGTTTACCGATTCAGAAAATTCAGATTACCATCATTCTATAAACCGTTAGACAGTTAGAAACTAAATATTTTATGAACAACTTCCAGTTATATGGAGTCACCTTTTGGGTACAGGAGTCGGGAGACTATCAGAAATTACAGATACTTCTGACAGATAAACTCTTCTTTGCTACTTTGAGGTGTTATTTAGCCATTAAGATGAGGCTTAGGATTCACTTCCCAGTGCTTGATGATAATTTAAATGCCTTCCTATTACAAGATTTTCGCTTATTACCAAAGTGTGAGGAAAACAAAAATCAGGTAAAAGGGAAAGTTCAGAGCCCATTTCCTGGCAGAATATTTCTACTGAAACCTTCAGAAATCACAGTTGCATATCTCATTTATCCCACCCCCTTGTTTTGCAATTATGTTTATTTGTGCTCTTTGTTCTGACATTCCAGCATCTGTTCGTGGGTTTTCTTTTTCTCTTCCCAAGCATCATCCTAAGGACAGCTTAATTAAGAGTCCAGAGTACAAGTCAGATCTCTTTTATTTAAGAGTCAAGGTGTTTTTTTTTTCCTCCTGTCTCTGAAACTATATATTTATGGAACATACAGTACATGTCAGGCTCGTGTTAGACATTTTTTATGTAAGTTTATTAAATTGATTCCTCACAATGCCCCTGTGAAAGAGGCAATATTAGCCCCTTTTATAGATGAGAAAGCTGAGACTGGTAAATTGCCTTGCCTGAAGTCTTACAGTAAAGCAGTGGAGCTGGGATTCAGATTCAAGTCTTCTGATAACCAATACAGATCTCTTTCCTTACATCTTTTCCTTGCTTGGGGAGCGCGAGTGCCATTCTCGGTATGTCATGGGAGCAATAGGTCACCTGGACAGTTTTACTTTGTCCTAAGTTACTAGAGATATTCTTTAGGGATCTTTAAATAAATGCCAGTGTGCTTCCAGGATAGACTCCAGATTGCATAGTGGGACTGATTCATGCAAGCCGATGTGGTTAAGATTTGCCATTATTAAATAATGTCTAGACCCTGTGCATTTTCTGTTCTGTGGAATTATCAATCCTCATCTCTTGGTTTGTTTTTTTTTTTTTTCTAATTTGGCATGATTTGGAAACAAAGTATATTAAGAATCTAAATGTTCCTAAACTACTGGAATTATGACTTAGCTCAATTTATAAGAAGCAGAGTAGAGTTGGTCAGCAGATTTGATGGTCTGTTTGTTTAAAAGGGTCTACGGTTTTCTATAGAAAGGGATCTGAGCGAGACATTTTAGCTAATGAATCAAAATCAGATATGTGGTCATTATTGCCTGATTATTACTCCATCTGCTCTGTGCTAACGTGAAAATCAATTACTGTGTCTCTTTCCCACTGACAGCGTATGTTGATCGGGCTGGCAAGAGATCTTCGAGGGATTGCCTTTGCACTGAACACAAAGACCAGCTACACCATGCTGTTTGACTGGATGTATCCTTATTACACTGTGACAATACCAGCTCTGTGCACAGAGGGATGCCAGGCCCCTCGCTTTCGTTTAATAGTATGGCACAGTAGGGAAGAGGAAACAAAGCTAAATGAACTAATGTGTAATCAGCTAAAAATTACAGCACAGTGGCAGCAGTGCAGATAACTGAGCACAGCATTTGGAGACCCAGCTCAGAGAGGTCACTTTTTGGTGCCATTAAATATTGACAACTTAAAAATCACGTTCCCAAATGATTGTTTATGTAGGGATTGCGGGATAATCAGGCTAACGTCTTTAACTCAGGATCAATGAATCTTACCATTTGGCATTTTCGAGGAGATTTGAATTTCTGTTCCATCTCAATTAGCAGGGTTGAGCAGGCTACTGTGCCTCTTTGAGGCTCAATTCATCATGCTACAGCTTTTCACCATCGTGAAAATATTAATGGAGATGAAAAGGGGGGAAATAAATGGTCAGGAGTTTTCATTTAGTATAAATTCTGAATTTACCTTTGCCAAGGCTTAGTACAAATAGCAACATAAATAAACAAAGAAACAAACATCCCTGGCAGAAATGCCTCATCATGTAAGAGTGAGACAAACGTGGACTCTGGTATCAGAGTAGGATTGAAATCCAGCTCTCCACCTTGGCAAGTTATTTCTCTTCTCTGAGTCGTGGTTTTCTCATCTAAAAAAAGAGACATCCAGTATCAGGGCTCACTGGGACCATTAAAATATAGGTAACACACTTTGTGTAATGTCTGGAACATATTTGGGAGTCCTAAGTGGTTGCTATTAATATTGTTTTAGTAGTATTGTATGTATCCTCTTTGATCCTAACAGGAAGTGACAATTTATAAAGTCATGTAAGTGTAATATGTTTTCATGCCTTTATACATAAAACTATCAGAGCACTTAAGAAAAATTCTGTAGCCTTAAAGCAATTGTATGTTTTAAGTTACACTGTTTCTCAGTTGCTCTTTTCAAACCCTCCTTATCCAAATTGCAAAAGAAACTTCTTTTTTTTAATTTATTATTTGAGAGAGAGAAAGGATCCCAAGCAGGCTCTGCATTATGAGTATGAAGCCTGACATAAGACTCGATCCCACGGCTGCAAGTTCATGACCTGAGCCCAGATCGAGTCAGACACTTAACTGAGCCACCCAGTCACCCACACTACAAAAGAAACTTCTTGAAAGCAATCTTTCACCACGGATCCCCAGTTAGGCCAAAAATATACCTAACAGGGGATCTGGGCATGGTTTAGGGAGAACTCTATGCATTAAAAAAAAAAACTTTTCTAACATTAATTGAATACCGACTTACATTTTTAGTTACTATTAAAACCTACTTCATCAGATATATGTGTTCATAGAAAGGTTAGAGGTAAGTGTTTTCCATGTCATTGAAGAACCATGTATGTCTTTATATCAGCATACCAAGTACATGTACAGAGGCTGTAGGTTTTAACACAGCAAGTCCTACAGTTGTTTTAACTGTGAAGAATAAACTGAGATTGCATATTACTTTTTTATTTATCTAAAAACAAACAGAAGCTTATAACGTGAAAACTTTCATTTATTTGAAAAAAAATCGTAGAAGCCTAGTTTTGGCACTCTGGAATGGATGGTGATCTTGACAGCAAGCTGCAACTCTACGATGTCCATCAGTTAACGTTTCCTGTGTCCCTCCTCAGCGGTCCCAACCAAGAGTCAAGTCCAGAACCTCTCCCCTCAGTGTCAAAGAATATAAATATCTGCCATGATCGATACCGCCTAAAATTCATAGAACATATTTTAAGTCTTTGGTTAAGTCTGTTTTCCATGTATTTCCTCACTAAGCTCCTTCTTTTTGGCACCTGTCTGAAGTGAAACTTTTGTCCAGCAGATGGCAGACAATAGCAAATGGAAGGCCTTGGGACTTCATGTTTTGTTTTGAACTGGAAACTATTGTCTTCTCCATGTGACCATAGATGTTGATGTTATTAGGGTCAGTGGCAGAGGGCGAAGTGTCAGTTATGCAGGGAGCTGTGTTAGATTGCCAAACAGGATGGCTTGGTACCGGCTTTGCTTATAATAATTGAGTTTCAGTAGCAAATCAGCTTCCTTGGGAAAAGGCCAAAGGCTTTTCATAATTGTATTGACAACAAAATGAATATGATAAATGGTGTTCATTCAGTTGAGACAAGATTTATAGTTTTCCTTTGGGCAAGGGATGAAGAGCAAATATTTATAATAATAGTAAAATTTGTTTAAAAGTTACATTATTTGATCATTCAAAAAGCTTTATTAAAATATTTTGAAATACTTTAAGCAGTTTCAGGTGATAAAGTACAGATTCTTTTCAAAGTATTCTAATAATGTAAAAATGAATAAGGATATGATAAAAAAAAAACATGGATATGAAAGTCATTTATTCTTCCTGAAATATTGATATGTCAAACCGTCAGTGATGATTCCTACATTACTGCCAGGGAAAGTTTATTTTTGCCTTTTATCCACATAAATGTGTGTTCTTTAATTTGTTATACAGTCCTTAGCATGCAGAAGAAATGTCCTACAAGAGCACATGTCATCTTAAAGTCAAGATGCATTTTATTTATGGTGATTATTTGATAAAGTGCTATTTTAGTGGTTAGCTCTTTAATTCAAAAACATTTCTGTAAACACTGACTGCATTAACTGCTACACGAACTGCATTGCTTATCACTGTCCTTCCAAAACTAAATTGCCTGAAACTACATAGCAAACATGTTGATAAATTGTTCTACTCCTGGAGAATTGAAGAATCCCTAATACACTTCTTTGCCCATATAGTGAGAACACAATATAAAAGCACCTTACCTTGTAGCGCATTTAGTCACCTTGTTTAGAGTCTTCCCAGATCATGCTTAGACTGAAGTATCAAAAATCCAGGCAGCAATTGGGGGCGAGAAAAAAAGGAGTGCGTATGATGCTATTTCCTTCTGCTCAGTCCTTTCACTTGTCATAATCTGATCTCTGAATCCACTGTTTTTCAGTCAGGTAATTGAAATACTGAATATGCATCAACACATTATACAAAGACAAGTCAAGACCATATGTAGATGTGTAGAAGAGCACAGACTTGAAAACAAAACAGTCTTGGATTCCAGTCCTGGTTTTGCCACTTAACCCGAGGCTCAAAAAACAAACACAAAAACCTGTGGGCTCTTGGATAAGTTACTTAATGTATCAGAATCACAGTTTTCTCTTCCACAAAACAGAGCTAATCATACCTGTCTAACAAGTATAGCATAAGAAATGAGTAAATGGACATATATAACGGCCTAATCCAATGTCTGGCACAAAGTGGATACTCCACTAACTGTTGTTAGTTCTTTTCTCTAATATGAAATGAGACAAAGGAATCCCATTTGCTCACTTATTCAGCAAATTTGGCTAAGGACTGTGCTAGGTTTCATGAGGGATGTAGATTACTTAGACTCAAATCTTACCCCAAAATGAGCTTCTAATTAAATAGAACCTGTTAGATACATACAAAAATGACTGTAATAAAATATAGGTGCCGTAACAGCAGATACAAATAGAGTGATTGCATTTAGCTGGGGAATCAGGAAGGTTTCTGTGAAAGTACAGATATTTCTCTGGATCTTACCAAATGCATAGGATTAGAGTGTTGGAACTCTGAAATAAGAGGTTTTCGGTTGGCCTAAGCACAGGGTTTGGAAGGGGGTAGTGGAGAAGATGTTTTGTTGTAGATACCACTTATTTTGTGCTTGGAAATGCAGGTTGTCTGGGACCCTTGAATATCAGGCTAAGGAATTTAGACCCTATCCCATAGATAGCATGGAGCAGTTGTTGTGACTGCCTAACCAAATCAGAATTGTACCTCAAGAAGAAAGTAATTGGCATTATGTTGGACAGACTGAAATAGGGAAGAAAGTAAACCTGAAAAAAAAAATCACTGTTCGGCAAGCACACAGTGCTGTGTGCTAGGCCTGAGGAAAGAGTGAAAGGATTGCTTCTCACAAGAACGAATAAAATGGATCACTCTTTAGAAGGCCACCATCTCGTAGATATGACATACAACTAATGAACAGTCAATGGCTTGTCACAAAGATGGCATGCAAAAGACCATATGAACACGTAAGAGGAAGAGATTGGCTTTTGGGCAAAAACAAAACAAAACAAAACAAAAAAAAAACGTCGGCTTCCCAGGGAAGTGAAAGTTGGGCGAGGTGTTGAAAAATAGACATTTGCTAGACAGGAGAGAAAGACTTCCAACAGCATTTGCTTTTGTGAAAAAAAAGTACACCTGTTTCACATTCATGGAGTACCTTTAAATTTTTTTTTTTTTTTCAACGTTTATTTATTTTTGGGACAGAGAGAGACAGAGCATGAACGGGGGAGGGGCAGAGAGAGGGAGACACAGAATCGGAAACAGGCTCCAGGCTCTGAGCCATCAGCCCAGAGCCTGATGCGGGGCTCGAACTCGCAGACCGTGAGATCGTGACCTGGCTGAAGTCGGACGCTTAACCGACTGCGCCACCCAGGCGCCCCCATGGAGTACCTTTAAAATAATCTCTGAACTGGCCGGCTGTTTCTGTTCTGGAACCACATCCTCATACCCCTATCTCTGAACGGTTTTAACAAAAACTCTTTTGTTGCTTTCTAGGATGTTACTGTGCTTTCCCTACTGTGAGATCCCAGAGGGAAAGAATTATGTGTTTTCCCATTTCTGTTTCCTTGGGGTCCAGTCATACTGACTGCTGGTTGTGTGGATGGATGGGTGGTCATCGTCAAGAAGGAAACCTCATGCTTTTCATTTTTTTATATTTGGCATCTGATAAGGCTATGTCATATTATTAACACTTCTGATCTTCCATTCATCTGATGTAGACGTTAGGAATTCATCGAGAAGGTTGGGTGAAAGCGGTTAGGTCTGTGCCTCTTCTACCTAAGGGCTCCCTCCCACTGTCTTCCTTCTTTCCATAAATAGGCAGTCCTCACAGGCCACTGGAAAATTAAACTCGTAGAGTGGGTTCTGATTCTCACCCTGTAATCTGAGTCTGGCACTCTCACTCTGAAGCCCTTTTAACCTCTCAGCTTGGTAGACCTCTACTCTGCTTTCCAGTAATCACTCATTTTCTCTGTGGCAGTCACCTCTGTCAGAAGCATATTAGAATCGGCACTACTCTCATTCCACACAGAAAAGGGAGCATCCCCTCATGTCCCGCGGCTTTCTCCCGTAGCGAATGCAGTGTGCTCTGAAAAATATGATGGTTCTAATGCCTGTAGAATGCCTTGCAAAGGAGCTTGTGTGTGCTTCTCATCCTCTTTGATTCTGAGATTTGGGTCTTGTCAGTTTCCTGGCTAGCCTTCCAGATGCTTTCCCACTAAAGATCACTGAGTCTGTGCTCAGGAGGTCTCCTGGTGGAATATGTTCTCACCTGTGCTTCTCTGGCATTGCTTTTGGTACTCAGAGAATCTCTGTTATGTGTCAGCCATGCAGACTTGAGAATGAATTCCCTAAGAATAAAAGCTTTGTCTTACTTATCTCTGGATCCCCGGCCCCTAGCACAGTAAATACCACATAGTGTCTATGATCTATCAAAAATAGCAGATTTTCTGCTACATAGAAAAAACAGTAAGTTATCTGACAATAGCCAAAACAGAGTTAATAATTAAGTTCACTGATTTCAGTTTTTTCATTTTTATCCAACTGAAACCTTATATATACACACACACTTCCTTCTTATCTCCCTTCTCCGCTTCATTTCCCTTTGTAGTACTCTCTTAACATATTATGTATGTCTTTTATTTATTTTCTGTCTTTTCTTATTAGAATATAAAGTCCATGAGGACAGGAATTTTTTAATGTTTGGCTCACTGGTGGCTCCAGAGAGTCTAAAACAATGAATAGACAGTTACAGAATAGGACTTCAGTAAATACTTCTTAGGTAAATTCTTTGTGTGTGTGTGTGTGTGTGTATACACACACACACACAAATGCAAAGCCTTAACAAAGGGAGACAAAAGTATTGCTTTGTGAAATTTTAGGGAGCTTGTGGTTCTTAAAGAATTGGAAGGCTTATTTTCGTTGAAAGTTACGTGAATTATTTCCTGAAGCTTCAAAGTGAAATGCACAGTTAAAAGGGAAGAAATAGGTAGTTCTAATCAAATATGCTCTACTTGATTTTTAGGTTGACAGGTTGACGGCAACAAATATTTATCGAAATCTGCTTTGTGCCAGGTCCATGCATACAAGTGCCTGGGTCCTGCCCTCAAAAAGTATTTAATAGGAGAGATTGAGTAGTTAGAAGGCACTGGCACACAGTACCACAGCTAGACAAAGGAAACACACCTAACCAAGTCTTGGGGGACGGGAAGGCCAGGGAGGCTTCTTGGACTAGTTGGCATCTATGTTGAAATCTGAAGGACAGATAGCAATAGCAGGGGTATGATAGGGAAGCACAGTCTTTGCCCTTTAGAAACTCACTAATGGGGCAGGCAGATAACAAAAGCAATCAATCTTAATATAAGTTTGTTGCAAGAGATACGGGGTCAGAGTGCTCATTGAACGTAGATGAGGAAGAGATGGATTCCTTTTGACAAAACAGAGAAAGTTTCACCATCCCAGGGGAAGCGCAACTTGAACTAGGTGTTGAAAGACAGGAATGAGTTAGGCAGAAGAAGCCACGTGTAGAGGAATGGAGACAAGAGAGTTGGCAACCATGGATTTGCAGGGAATTGAGAGTGGCTGAACCGTGGATGGGGCAGGAATACTGAAAGAGGAGTCTAAAGGTCCACAGGGACCATATCTTAAAGGGCCTTGTATGCCATCCTAAAGAATTTGAAATGTATTCTAAAGAGCAAGGAAGAAAATTGTGGCTTTTCCACCATGGAAATCTCTACCCATACACACAGGAAAGGAACACCACTAAGTAATTCAGTTCTTTCAGCACTTTCATCTGAAACAAAAAGACAAGTATACTGGAAAACATCAGAAACAGAGAAACTTAGAAAATAGGAAAAGAAGAAATGAAGGAGTAGAATAGCAAGGTGTTTTGTGTGTGTGTGTGTGCTGCAGCTTAAGCTTCAATTTTATATTTATGTGTCCATTTAGCAAGGAGGAGGCCCCAGTTAAGGGTTAAAGGACCAGTGGAAGTGAGTCAGAGTTTTCTAGGTTCTGGTGGTCTCAGCCGTTGACTTATCAGAGGCATACAATTCTTACTATTGAGGAAGATGTTTGAGAATTTCTCCTTGGGTATACATAGGACTACCTTTTAGCTGACCCTGAGTAGATTAAAAGTTATGCAAAGCTTTTCTTCAAGCTAACATCTCCAGTATTCCTTGGAGCTACAGTGGGACCAAGCAGAGCAAATCAGCAACTTAAAAAAACGAAAAGAGATAATTTCTAAGCTGGAAGATAGATAGATAGATAGATAGATAGATAGATAGATAGATAGATAGATAGGGATTATTATTACTATTTCCCTCTCCTTCTATGTATTTTTAAATTTTCACAAGAAATGACACTTTTTCTTAAGTTGTTTGATGCCCAAGAAACTGATATTAACAATTCAACTATGTTTTTATCCTCATTAAATTTATTTCCTTTCCTACAGTATGCAGCACATTTCTTTAAATGTGTTACTTATATGATACTTTAAAAGTGTCTTTTGTTTATAGAGTATACCAAGAACAAAAGAATATAATGTATGGGATATGTTACAAATCAGAGCACATCATTTTACAATCCCCAGCAAACATACAGCTGTGCAGGTTAGGGAGCAATTTATAAAATTTCCATTGCTTATTAAACATAGAAGAAATGTGGGTTCTCTTTTTGCTTTTGAGGTGCCGCTAATTTTCAGGAACAATATTTCTTTTGACCCTTAAGTTCTTTAACAGGCTTTATAAAAGGTACCCAACGTATCTTCCCATTCTTCAGAGGACTATCGAACGGTGGTATGGAGAGCCAGCATGCACAACTCCCATTCTGAAACTTATGGCAGAACTGATGCAAAACAGGTAAGAAGTGCAATGGGGGAGAAAAAAATCTGCTATCTGGCAGCAGTCTCTAGAGGTCAGATTTTCCTGTTTGGTATGTATATAGTCAAGGCTTAGCAAGAACTCAGGACCCAGAATTTTTAAGATAACTGGTGAAAGCAGTAGAATTAGAGACATAAGGTTGAGACCTTTTGGAAAAAGAATATAGTATATTTAGGTGTATAAGGGGACTAAGGGAACTGGAAAAAAATTGGAAGGTACCGCCACCGTTATTTAAAATATTCAAAGGCAAATGGAGGAAGGGCTTCTGTTTTAACTGTTTCACTGCTTAACTGCAATTCCATGTAATTTGAGAGCAGGGAAGTTTAGAGGTCTCTGAGTTGAGATGGTTCCTTCTTCAAGAAGGGAACTGAGTCCCAGAGCAGTTCATGGACACATAGTTTGTCTCAGGAGCCCCAGGGATTGTCCCTGCTTTGACAACTAAGTTATCCTTTTCCTCTTTGCCAAGATGCATGTATGTGGATGATTTATGCATTCAAAATTTTCGTTTAAATAGCAACTACAGTAAACAGGGGTGTATAGATCTTTTCAAATTAGTGTTTTCATTTGGGGGTGGAGGGGAAGTACCCAGTAGTGGAACTACTGGGTCATATGGTAGTTCCATTTTTAAGTTTTTAAGGACCCTCCATACTGCTTTCTACGGTGGCTGCACAGATTTGCATTCCCACCAACAGCGTGTTGGGGCTCCTTTTTCTCCACATTCATTAAAAAATTTTTAAGAGTGAAAAATAAACAGCAACTACAACTTCTTAAAGATTGCCCAGTTGACCTTATAATTTGCACAGACCAGCAGAGATTGAAATACTCTGCGTATAAATATTAACAAAGATGTAGCTAGAGGACAAAAGCTGCAAGAAGGTAATTGGTTTTACGTCTTTAAAATATGTCATTGTGAATATGGCTTAGCACCAAATTACCTGTCACTTAGCCATCGTGTTTCCTCAGTTCCTCTTGTAAACTATGTGTTGGAAGGGAGATATCCACACAGGGAAGAAGGATGGACTGTAGCTGTAATTTTATCTCTGGTGCTAGGTCTTTCACAGTAATAATTTAAAATTTATTAAATAAGAGGTGGAAAAAGACCTGGCAAATGAAGAAATGTATTATTCTTTTAAAAGCCGTTTTTTAAAACCATTCTCCTATGTACCTTAGATACTGTAGGAAGGGTGGCTATGTTTGTGTTTGATTAAATTATGGTTTTTCAACCAGATAATTGATATTATATATTACTGATACAGCATTTAATACTAAGGGAGAAAGTTACTGCATCGTATATTGTAGAGTATTTTATACCTGCCATAAGCAAATGATTCGTATCTATCTAACACAGTTGTCCTTAGGAGTACCTAGTGAAAATCTGTAATCTCAGAAAATATGTTATCTTGTGTGTATTTCTCTAGAGTCTAATGTGAAGTATGTATGTACGTTTCTCTTTAGTCAATAATTGTATGCCAGCAATCAAAAGTTCACAATCTTTCTAGTAAGTTAGAACTGCACCTTATTCTGAAGCATTCTGAGAAAGCATGAAGACGCAGCAATTCATCATTCCTGGCAAAGGGACTTTAGCAAGTGTCTTTGCTTTTTTGGTATTGCTTTGCTATGACCTATCTGCATATTTTTGGCTAGTCCTTTAAAAAGCATGCCATTATTTCTTGAAAGCACAGAGACCAGGCATATCAGAGCCAACTGAAACCAAACTGATGTTAAAAAGCAAGTATTATGTCAGGATGGCATATGTCAATCCTTTATCCTGTTCCTACTGTTCCCCTACCTGTCAGAAACCAGGGAAGCAGAATCATTCTTATTTAGAATTCCTAGGATTTGTTTCTCTTTATTTGAGCCATGTGCAATGGAAACTCTAGTCTGAATGTAATTTCGTGTATGATTAATTATACATATGAGCAGTATTAAAAAATACCTACATCTCCTATCTGTCACTTTAGAATTTGTTTTAAAAATGTTTATCGGGCACGACAGGAGATCACAAACGTAAACCTCTATACAGGTATTTATATAAACTTACAGATACACACCCTGGGGTATTTTATTAGTATCTATCAGCCACTTTGCATGAAAAGAGAAGAGAGTAAGTCTACGATTTGGGATGTCAGGATATTTTTTTGACAGATACAACTGAAATCTTTGAATCAGTCAGTGAATGAAATTAACTCTTCCTGACTGTCCTAGTATCTTTTACATATTTTATCGACACTTGTTTAATGGAGTGGCATTTTTTAAAAGGGATCATTATACTGCTGCTACTTCTAATAAATGAAAATGCTAGGCACTTTAAATCTACATTTGGTTTCTTTATCTACACGTATAGTCTGGTTTTTTGCTGTATTTCTTAGATCCCAGCGTTTGAATTTTGACGTATCATCTCCTAATGGAATTCTTCTCTTCAGAGAAGCTAGTAAAATGATTTGCACTTATGGTGAGTATCTTTTTCCATATTTGTCTCTGCAATATAACTTTATCTCTTTGGGGGAAAGAAAGATGTTAGTTATTTTGTTCTTTTGAACCTTCCTATCTGTATGAATTTGTGAAGTAGGTAATAGTGCAGAAAGCCAGGTAGCTATCATATTGGCATCGGGAGAAGTAAGTAAGCAGCGTGCCTTTGACTACAAATCATGCCTGACCAACTTGATGAATTTCTTTTGGATAAAATTGCAGTGTCAGTAGGCAAAGGGAATACAACTAGATAGAATATTGAAAAGTTGTAGCGTATTCAAAATTGCGAAAAGTTACATCAGGGAATTTGCTATCATGGATCAAGGAATGCTTAGACCACTATGTCACCAGCACTGAATTTTGGAAAAATATCCTGCTAAAGGGCAGTAAACATTTTATTACAGGGAGCTTTTGGGCATTGCACTCTTAGAATCAGAGTTCTATGGTAAAGATAGTCCTATTCAGTTATTGTCACAAAATTTGTTTCGCAGTTAGAATCGAGCCTTAGAACTACCATAAACCCTAATACTTGCCAATTCTGACAGCTTCATCAATGAAATTCTCAACTCACTGAGACCTTTATGTATCCTGGGGATGGGGGTAGGATGGGTAAGAATCCTGTTCCAGTTTGCCGTGCACTAGCTGGCCTCTGCACAGTACTCTTCTTGAGAGATGGTTTCCTGTGTCCTCTTATTCTCTGTTTTCTTTTTGGCCTGTCGGTTCTTGCTGTTCCAAATCAGTAGCCAACTCTGAGTACATTCAGTCTCAAAAATTGCCCATGATTATCGTATTTCTTTTTGAGAACCTTCCAACAGATTTTACAAAATTTTTCAAAGCCTCTTTAAGACCATGTGTATTTGTGCATATCTGTAGGAACAACCACTAGAAATGTATTACTTCTTTAAAAGTAAAAGCCTATTTAAAAACAAAAAAAAAAGGAGAAAAACAATTGTTTTAAATTGTTTTCACTTTCAAAACCCATTCTGGGACAGGAAGCTGTGTGCCTTGTAGGCCTCTGTTAAAAATGCATAGTTTTAATTGTGCGTTTGATTTTTAGAGTTTCAGATTCTAAGTGTGTGAAAACTACAGGAAGCACCTATTTGAGTCCGTAAACTTGCACTCTCCTATGTTCATCTGTACCAACAACTACATTGTCACCATTTTTGATCTGTTGAAAGTAGACACATTAGAATCATACAAAGTAGAAATGTTTTGCCTCTTAAAGGTAAAAATGAACCCCTTTTCAAATATTCTCAATGCAGTTTGCTTTACTTCCAGTGTATATCTAGCTCCTTCCATTGTCTTAGCATACAAAGATAACATGTCTAGACCATTTTCTAAAATGGTATCTTAGAGAAAGCATAGTTTTTGGAGATTAAAAGATCTGAGTACCAATTGTAGTACCAGCCCTTATCAACTCCATGACCCTCAGCCAAGACACTGTGTTTCTTTGTGCCTAGTTTTCTCACACACAAAAATAGGAACAATGACTCCCTACTGACCTACTTAGAATTCGAGATGGTTAGGTGAGCTACTCCAGGTAAAGGGCTTGGCACAGGGTATGACATGGAATAGACATTTAACCAACATGTGTCTCCTTAATCCAGAGCCATTCTCTTATACTCATAGAACCAGCCTTCTTTGGACAGGGGTTCACTGACCACATCACTTTTTTGTTCAGCTCCTGCTTGGACCACGCTGTCCTGCTTCCTTCTGCCTGTAATAAGTGCTTAGCTTCCATTTACTCACTTTATTTTTTTAATGTTTACTTATTTTTGAGAGGGAGCCAGAGCATGAGCAGGGGAGGGGCAGAGAGAGAGAAGGATACAGAGAATCCAAAGCGGATTCCAGGCTCCGAGCTGTCAGCACAGAGCCCAACGTAGGGCTCGAACTCACAAACCACAAGATCGTGACCTGAGCCAAAGTCGGACACTCAACTGACTGAGCTACCCAGGCGCCCCCTATTTCCTCACTTTTTAAAAGAAAATAATATTTCTCATATGGAACAATGTATGTATATGTAAGAATTTCTTAGTAGTTGATAGAGCTTTAACTCTACACATGTTAGATTTCTGTTACCAATCACAGTTGTATTTTCCTTCTGCTTTTTCTCACTCCAGTTTCTTTCACTGTGTGTAATTTTTCCTTTGGGACTTACTCACTATTGTGGTAGGACCAATCAGAGCAGTGCTTTCTCCGCCAGTGTTACTGGACCCCTAGAGCAGAATATATGTCCAGCCAAGTGACACCAAAAAGAATCTCAGAACAATGCCAAATCTGTAGGCTTCAAAAGCTACCTAGTCCTCTGTCCAGTTGTTTGACATAAGCAAAGAAAGGCATTGTAACAAAAGCTGAGGAAGTTAACTAAGTGAGGATCACATTGGAGGAAGAAGAAGAGGAGGAGGAGACAGAGGTAGAGAAAGGGAAGGAAGACAAGAAACAAGATGAAGAAAAGAGAAAAGAAGAAAAGGAGTAAAGAGGGAAAAAAAACCTTCAAAGCATTCTTGAGAAGGAAAGCTAGTAAGCTTTCTTACTCTAAAGAGAAACTAAGGGATTAAAGTAAGGTATTGCACCTTGGCTTGAAATAATAATAAGGTAGCTTTTATTTTTTAATCAGCTATTATGTGGCTATTCCTATACTAGACCATTTATCATACATTAGCCTATCAGATCCTCAAGGTAGTAGTGTTATCGGCCACTCACTACTCATTTGGCCTTGGCTAAGTTGCTTAGCCTTTCTTGCTTCAGTTTCTTGTTAAACAGAGAAAAGAACACCTACTTCATAAGGTGGTTATGAGGATTCAGTTCAGTTGTGCATAGAAAGCTCTTAGACCAGTTAGCTTCTGTGAACACTATTATGAAGAAATTGAAGCTCATAGAGATTAAGAAACTTGCCAAATATTGCATAGCTAGTAAGTCGCTGAATTGGAATTTCATTCAAAGTCTATATAAATTCAAACGATAGTCTCTCCATATTCCTTATTGCCACTTGGGAGCTGCCACAGGAAGATTGTCCTTGAATATTTATGATGAAGCACTGTTCTTTAACGTATGGTGATTTCTGTCCTAAAACTTAAGGGAAATCAAAGGCTCAGTGGCAAAATGTCCTTCAACTTCAAGTCAGCAGTGACTTGGACACGTGCACTTTGCATAGAATAATAGAAACATGTTTATCACCCTTCCCTGATTCCCGTGCTGTCCCCCCCCCCCCCCCCCCCCATCAGCCAAACTGATTTGATCTGTCTTCACCCTCTGTAATGCCTTGTTGCCCCTTCTTTTACCTCTGGAGTCTTTAATATGCTCATGGAGGGTGATCATGTGGTCTGCCATCCAGGAGGTTGGAAGGTGAGGGAAAGAGTGGGAGGGCACAGAAGAGCAGCAGTGTTTATTTTTTTGGTAAGCCAAGCAGAAGGGAAGGGAAGCCCTCGGAAGAAAGAGGCCAGAACATTCTGCGATCCCTTCTGTCCCCATCCCTCGCTGGGTTTCTTCTCTGCTCACCTCTCATGGGCAGTATTTGGGTAGTCAGTGATCGGGGCCGTGTAGAGTGGGGAGGACTCTTTCCCACATGCACTGATTTGTTGCATATTTTGTGGAACACGTCTACCTCGCTGCTCAGTGAGACTGGCAGAAAAATAATACTTTTGATATGCTGTTTTATTTATCTACATTCTGTCATGATATACTTTGATGTAAGTTTTTAATTTTGCTTCAGCTCTCAGCTGCTCTCGCCGTTACAGCTCAGGGTCAGCAATGAGGTTAGCCACAGTAGCACAAAACAATTTCCTGTTTGTACAGCCCAGGTAACATTTGGATGAGGATTAAATTTTACCACATTTTCTACTAGCCCAAGCCTATTATTTCTAATGAGTTTTAAATTGCTTCAAGAACGTGTATTTCAAAACTTAGTGCTGTGATCCATTCAGCCTGAGCAACTTAATAAAGGAAATTTTTTTCTTGAATTTTTGGTTAAAATGTTGCATGCAGTGTAATAAATGTTATTACTTTGGAAACCTACTTCTCAGTTTTAAGAACTGGATGTTTTTTATGCTCAATTTCCATTTGTCTAATCTTTTCTTCCTTTAGCCCCTGGGTCCTGGTATCTTTAGTGACATCTATTGGTTGAAGAGTGCACAGAAGGGAGAAATCGTGATAATTTTCATAAGACTAGGCAAAACAGAACTGCTTTTATTCCCTCCTTGGATACCTGATTTAAGAAAGTTCAGTGTGTGAAAATCTAAACTTTAAAAATGGATGGAACAGCCATGAGTATTCACTATATGTAAGAATTTACATCAGGGCTCTTTAAAGCAGTATGTGCTCCAGGTGCATTTAAGGTATGACTTAATCACATGCTTAAATTGGATTGGTAAAGCAATGTACAAGCCACTGTTATTTATCGTGACCTAGAAAACAGACCATGGTTTTCTAACTGGCTTTTGCAGAGCCCTGGAGATCTGGAAAGGACCATAGTGGGCCTCCAGATAGCAGGGAGGAGGACACCCTACTGCCACTTTGACCAGAACCACCCTGCTGTATAGTTGCACCAGATTTGTTTGTAAAAGCGAGTCACTTTTTTGACCACTTGTGGGGTTTTTTGTAAAAAAGCTTGAAAATTACTGGCATGTGCTATTAGAAGCATTGTGAGAATGAAGGATTATGATTATATATTTATGTTTGATTACCAAAGAAAAGCTGAAGAACGCATTGGTCCTGAGATAACTAAAGTCTTAATAAATGTCTCCAGGAAATAACAGTTCTGGAAAACAAACTATCCAGGAACCATGTATGTGGCCTTAGATCTTACTGGAAACTTGGATGGGGACATAGAGTGTCAAAGTAGTATTAAAGTAAAGCTCATGATAGAATGACCGACACCTTGAGGATACCAGCACCAGGATCAGGTGGCTTACAAAAGCAAGACCTTGGGGAACATGTTCCACAGTAGATCCACACATACCAGACGTGCCCCCTTTTGCAAACAAG